AGCAAGGGTCGGCAACTGGCGGACCGCGGTCCAGGTCCGGACCGCGGAAGGTAAAATACTGGACCGCCAAAAATTTTTTGAAAGTATAAATTACTCAAATAAATTATTTAAAAAATGTTTTTTACGTTTAAGTGCCAACCTTATAATTTTTTCTAGTATTTTACAATTGTGTGAGTGTTTTGAGTTCTTAATGGTTAGTAAGCAGATTAAATTTGAGTTCAAATGAAAATTTGTAAGAAATATGAATTTTTTTTCTGGACCTCGTTAAAAATTTTTAAAAGTATCCGGACCCCACCTAAAATTACTTGCCGACCCCTGCCCTAGAGGAATGTGAAGAGGAGTACGGAAAGACGTCTTGAGTGGTGCGTGAAGGGACCTCTTAGGATAGGTAGGTAGATGGACGAAAAAAAAAAAATTATTTGTTCATTTTAAAATGTTCAGCCATATACATTCTGTCGAAATAATATTTGGAGTTTGTCATTTAAAAATTTTGCATAAAATAGATTTAAATTTCTTTTTTGATAGAAAGTTGATACCACCGAACTAATCTGAAACAAAGTTTGTGTTTGAGCACATTTGTCAAGTAAGTAGTTTGTTTACAGCTGTTAATTTTGTTAGCCCACCCAAAAGTGTATTCCGCGATTTTTACTATAGATAATGTTATTGAATAAAGAGTTTGCCTAAAATTTTGTGCTACCAACGGAATTTCTTATGCTGAATAGTTGAAATGTCAGGAAAGACGTATGGTAATTCAGTTTTATCGAAAACTGACGCATATGAATGGTACAAAGCATTCAAACATGGTCGAGAAGTAGTTGATGATTTGCCACGTTCTGATCGTCCTTCAACATCTTCAACTGAAGAAAACATCGATAAAGTGAAGGAAATGGTGCTTGCAAATCGTCATTATAGATTGAAAGAACATGTTGCTAAAGATATGTTGAACAAGCTAAGTCAGACTCTACATTCATGCAAGGTATCATAAAGGGTGACGAGATATGGGTTTACCAGTTTAATATGCAAATGAGTCAACAAGCTTCGGAATGGTAATTTTCTAATGAACCGAAATCAAAAAAACTTGAGTCAAAGACGATCAAAAAATCAAAATCATATTGACTGTTTTCTTTGACTATTGTGGTGTTGTCCACACAGAATTCCTTCCCGATGGAGATCAATCAACAAAGAACATTATCCGGGTGTTATTGTCGCGGTCCCGTGAAGATCGCGAGCTAGAGAAAAGTGTGTCCGGAAATCTGGAGTGAACTGCTTTTGTTAAACGGAACGTAATGGTTAAATTCCAGTCAATACAGTGTTATCCACTTGATAAATTAAATCACGGTAGAATCGCGAGTGAAAAATTACGAAATTGGGGAAAAGTCGGCGTTTAAAAAAGTAACTACTTATCAAAAGATTTGATTCGACATTGACAGAATTGAAGTCAGACAGTCGATTCCACAAATGATAAAAGTTACGAGTGAAACGCGGTGTTGCGAGAGACAAAAGGGACAAATTTAAGATATAACGAGTGCGTCGTTAGTGCCACCACGGGTATACCACAAAAAGAAACTTATACGTGAACCTGGGAATATATGCGTTCCTGTCAGCGTGTCGAGTTTTCTTCTTTAGCGATAAGAATCCTTGCCAGCACCATTCCTTAGAGTGACTCATTAAATCCAATTGTGAGATTTGAAAGAATTAAATATATTTTAGGTTTGAGTTGAGTAAAGTGACTTTTAATAGTAATAATAATAATAATCATAGATAGTCTTATAAACTAAAGGGCTAAGGACCTGTAGTGAACTTATACCGAGCCATGACAGTGGTACCAGACCCTAGCAAGAACGGTTAAGTCGTAAAATTTCCCATTAGTGTGACATCTCTGAAACCAAGAAGACAAATAGACAATAGACAGTATTTCTTATTGTTATATAGACAGTAATAGTGTAAGGAGACTTAAATATTATAGTTTAGAGACAGAATAGTCAAGTGAAAGTGAAGTTAGTATCCGTTGGTTCTATAATATAAAGCAGGGGTCGGCACGTAATTTTAGGTGGGGTCCGGATACTTTTGAAAATTTTGAACGAGGTCCAGAAAAAATTCATATTTCTTATTTTTTATTTTAATTTGAACTCAAATTTAATCTGCTTACTAACCATTAAGAACTCAAAACACTCACACAATTGTAAAATACTAGAAAAAATGATAAGATTGGCACTTAAACGTAAAAAACATTTTTAAAAAAATTTATTTGATAATTTATACTTTCAAAAAATTTTTGGCAGTCCAGTAATTTACCTACCGCGGTCCGCCAGTTGCCGACCCTTGGTATAAAGGTTCAAGACCAATTTTGGGTCCTAATCGACCCCAGTTAGAATTAAGTTTTGCGAAACTGGAAGAAACAGCAATAATTAACCCGGCTTAAATGGCCGGAAGGTCACGTGATGCGTTTGATGCATGAGCACGACAACATTATGAGACAAAGAGTGTCCCCCGCAAAAGACCAGATGCAAGGAAGGACAATTATTGGATTTTGTACCGCGATAATGCACCTTCACATAAAGCGATAACTGTGAATGAATTTTTGACCAAAAACTTAACGACTTGACTTTTCCCTCTTTCCCAAACTTAAATTACCACTTCGTGGAATAGGTTTCGAGTCGATAGAAGCCATAAAACAAATATTGCTGAAAGAGTTGAAGTTCATACCAGAATATGCAATTAAATTTGTTGCAATTCGTTGGAAAAGTGTATTGCTTCAAATGGAGCCTATTTTGGAGACAAAATAAATATTGATGTTTCATTGAATATATTGTGTTCTATTAACAAATTCCAGACTTTTTTTGACAGAATGTACTAGAACTGAATGCTATTAACAAAATTCAAACTTATCTTTTACAAATCTGTCTAAATTTGAATGTAAATATTATAATAATGGTAATGTACACTTAGGCACTAAAATAAATTAGTTAAAAAAGTATATTTACTCCAACTCTGATTATATTATGATTTAAAATAAGGGGCACTCAAAAATTTTTTTGAAGAGGTCCGAAAAAAGAATGGATATAATTTTCTTACCATCTCCCAAATGGGGGAACATTTCCGTGATATCTTTAATCATATTTTCTATTTCATGTTCTCCTGGTCCCATTGTTAATTGAGATGAACTTGCCTGAGGCTCTTCTTCTTCTTCCTCTTCTATTTCGGGTGGTTTAAATTCCTTAAAGACATCTTCGATAGTTTGTCTTTTTAATTCTGATAATTGCTGCAATCTTTTATGTCTGGGAAATTTGTTTATACATGAAACTATAAATTCCGTCCTAGTAGTATCTCTATAGAAATAGTTAAGGAAAAAAAAAATAAAAAACATTTCTTTACATGGTTGCCATATTACTAATACAAAAAGGATACAGTGGAAAACAACTTTCAATTATTTCGTTTTGGCTAGCTACATTATATTTCATGTTGTAATCACAGATGAAGTAGTCATCTTCCAAAGCTGTTGTTAATAGCTTTAAGTAAGTCTCGACTATAACTTCTTGTTGTTTCGTATTGCCTCTAAAAATATGAATATAAACCAATCAAAGAAGATACGATAAGGGTGAGTCTTACATCGTTTCAAGTGTTTTATCCAGGCAATGAGAAATAAATACGTGGTAAACATCGATAAACTCACTTCGACCTAAATTTATTTCATCAAAGACTTTATTGCTAAGTTCCTTTTGAATTTTAAGTTCTTCTCTGACACCTAACATTTCATATAACTCTCGGTAAACGTGAACATATATATACGGCATTCTGTAAAAGAATCAAATGTAGTGTCCGCAGTATAAGTAATGTATATTTAACACTACATAATAGTGTAAATCAAAATTTAAAACGTTCTACAGTGTGTCCTGTTTTTCCAGAGGATAACACCTCTGGAAATGTGAGAAGGCTGACTTTCCGCAAGCCAATTTTTTTTACAAATAATACCCTGAAAGGAGGTTATATTCTACAGATCATTTTATTGATGTCACAAAAACCTGGCCTACTACGATTTTTTAAAAGGGTCGTTTTTCCAGAAAGTAGTACTAGGCATTTTTTTATTAAAATGATAATAATACCAGGCTATTTAGCATCCATTAAAATGCCCATATACCAAATTTGAACAACAAATGTCTATCGAGTGTTTTTTAATGCGGTGACAAACGTCGAAAAATCAGACAACTAAAAAATATAATAAGCAGGTCAAAGATTGCTATGAAAGTGAAAACAAATACTAATCGGACAAAGAAAGAATACAGGCACTGTAAATTTAATACTTTATTAATTAATTATAAAAATAATAACTTAACAAAAAATTTAATGAATTATAAATACTAAGTTCTTAAACAAAAAAATTGCAAAACGTTAACCTAAATTAAGTTTTACTTTTCTCCACCAAACCTCCTTCCAGTCGAACACATTTTTCCAATCCTCTTTTTAAATTTAAAAATAATTTACATAGCCGTTGTGGAATAATCTCTGCACAAGCTTGTCTTACGCAATTCATTAGGTCATCCAAATTCCTTGGTCTGTTTTTATAAACTTTTTGTTTTATAAAACCCCAAAAGGAAAAGTCCGTAGTGCGAGAAAACTAAAATTTAATTTACATTGTTTTACTATTTTTTGTTTAACAACGTAATATTTATAATTCATTACCTACACTTTTTGTACGTTAATTATTATTTTTACTGTGACATTTGTCGTTCAAATTTGGTATATGGCTATTTTAAAGGGTGTTGAATAACCTGGTAATATTTTCTTTTTGATAAAAAAATGACTAATACCACTTTCTGGAAAAACGACTCTTTTAAAAATTCGTAGTAGGCGAGGCTTTTGTTAAATCAATAAAATGATTAGTAAAATATAACCTCCCTTCGGGATACTATTTGTAAAAAAAATTGGCTTGCGGAAAGTCCACATCCTTCTCACATTTCCAGGGGTGTTAAAATGAAAAATGGGAGACGCTGTATATAACATGGGTCCTAAAGATCGTTGGGTACATGCTTGTTTAGAATGTGGTGGTGAATATTTTGAACAGTTATTATAGCTACAAAATCTGGTAAGTACAAGTAACATTTTTCTCAATTTTATTTAATGTAATCTATATGTGTTTTCACGAATACATTTTTCGGTATTTATTGCTTTAAGGCCCGGTACTTTGAGTCTTGGTTAAGACTTGAATAACTAATCAGACAATTAGACTGAGAATATATAATTATAAAATAAAAATAAGTATATGTACAGTCTAATCTACTTAACCAAAGCTTAACCGAGACTCGAAGTACCGGGTTAAATACAGGGTGTAACTTTAAGTGAGAGTCAGTTTTTTAGGGGTAATAGTACGTGTTCCCTTGAATACGAATTTGAAGCCCTTTTTTTAATCAAATAAATAGTTGTGTTATAATTAGCTTTTTAAAATGCACTTTAATTCTTGTGTACGCCACCACTGTCAAATTCATGTATTACATAATATACATGCATTGTAGGCAATCTACAGTGCATGTAAAGAGAGATAGTGCGGGTCAACGGTGACGAAGCGAAGAGAGACCTGCAAGGACTATTTATTTGTGTGTCTTTCATTTATCATTATTGATTACTGCTCGAGTTTTTTGCTAGGTTACTTGTTAAGTACTGTTTGTGTGGCGTACATCCACTCAACAAAAGTAACTCGCGGCGAAGGGTGTGAAATCGTACATGCGCTGTGACTAAAGCGTGCTGTTATTTGAAGTTACACTAGCTTATCCAGCGGCGTAGTACAAGAATTACTAAATAAAAAGGTTAAAAAAAAGTTTTTACGAGGGAATTTGAAAAAATAAACTATTGATACGTGTTTCTAAAAGTCAAACTTACAGCCTGTATAATGAAAACAGAAAACCTTTTTCTTAAATATTATGAAACTTAGGATCTATATTGCATAATTTTATTTATTTTTGCAGTAGTCTGTAACATATTCAACATACGGCGTTTGTACAGTCAACTAAAATCAAAATATAAAATATTACCAAACATCTTATAACCACTGTATCAGAGATAAACATAAATTAAAAAGATATTGGAAAAGAAACATGATTCTCAATTAATAACATTTTTATAATATAAGGCCAAAACGGCACTATACTATATCAATAACAATTACTCTTATGTACCTGTATGGTAGTTCTTTGTTCAAACAAATTTCGATGGCAGGTTTGTAGAACTGCAACAGGGTATTTAATAAGGAAAGTGTGTTCAACAAGTAGTTCACTACTGAGTACACCCAAGATAAACTGAATACTTTTGGCCTTTCTTTAATGGAAACAGGTACTACTACAGCATCTTCATCGAATCCACAAACATGACCTCCTATCATTTCTAATACCTAAAAATGTGATACCAGTTGCAATTACATTATTAAAATATTGATTCGAAAACTAGACTAGGCTAGGCTATGAGATAAGATTTGGCTAAATATATGATTTATTATTAGTTATTGTAATTTTACTTTAATTTCATTGAAGTCAAACAATGTTCTTTGGCACCAAGCAAAGCAAAAATAGGCCGACGTAAAATAACCAAAAAAGCAAATAAAAAAGTGGAGATAATCTTTTTCCTTCACACTGCCATTCTTCTAATTCTTAGCATTTGTAAATTATTAGAAATTTTAACAAAGCATCAAAATTTAATGAGGAATTTTATAAATTATTTGGTAACGCCATAATCAAATTCAAAACTAATTATGCTATAGAATTTTCCAATTAATATCAAACATTTTTTTTTTTTTTAAAGAGTAACAAAGCTATTGTACTTCTCCACCATAATGGACTACTGCACAAATCCTTATTTAACAGAACAAACATCTCTAAATTAATTGAATTAAGTTGTTATATTTTTAAAAAATATATTGGGAACCTCATAGGCTTTGTGTAAAAAGTCTTGTGATTATATTCATCCCAACGTTTTGATTACAATATGCACTTTATATAAATAATTATTAATGATACTTACAAGTAGGGTCTGATTCACCATCTCCTCTACTTCCCTTATTTGAAAGTCCAATTGAGAAGTATCATTAAAGTATAAATTAGTTAATTTATTCACAAAGTCTAAGTTACAATTTTTATATATAAATGCAAGAGATATCACAATGGGTAAGTTGATTAATTTTCTTTCGATCAACTTTTTGAAACCATATTCCTCCGACATGAATTCGATCTAAAAATTATATTCAAGACATAAATTATACTAGTTTTTGATATATAAATATTTTAAATTTAAAAATAAGTCAGGTTCCTCAATTGCTTAATGTTTTTCTAAGAAAATATGCCTATAAATAAAATCAAAATTTTATTTTTCAAAAGGATATACAGGGCGTACCAAAAAGAATATCAGGGTTTTAAAGCTTTGTAGGAATTATTACTGTTAACTTACAATTACAAAGTATACATCAAATGAACAAGCAACTCAAACAGTTTGTCCTACAAGTATGCCTAATGGTAAGGTCACTGTAATAAATTCTACAAAGCTTTAAAACCCCGATATTCATTTTGGTACGCCCTGTATTATACTATTATTTTAATATTATTTGATGACAGATGTTAAACTTTTTACACATATGCAATGCAACAGATGATGAAATACCATTGATTTAAATTTGATTATTCTGGTTATACAAATACATAAAAAAGTTAGGATATAAGTATATACAAAAGTTAGGGAAAATATACCTTCGAAATAAAGATAATTTAATTGAGGTAAATAACTACTTATTTAAAACAAATTCTTAAATCATCACTTCATAATAATAAGGATTTGGAAATTTTTTGGAAACGTGGTACATTATAGATAAACACAATGATATATTTCCTTGGCTGTTTTGCTCTCAATCGAGAGCTTTTTTAACATTTATTATTTTATATTAAATTTAATTTATAGACATCTTAATCAATTATTTTCTCATTTATTGTGCTAACAGTCGCTGTAATTTAGAAAGAAATTATTTAAAAAAGAGAAGGTTTATAAAATAAAAAAAGTTTGGATTATAGCAAAATTTAAAAATACATATATTGTATATTATTATTATTATTATTATTATTATTATTATTATTATATGACACCAATTGGTAACAATTTTAATTCATGAAGTGTCTTTGGTTACCTAGGATGTCTATAATTTAAATTTAATATAAAATAATATATGCTGAAAAAGCTATTGATCAAAGGCAAAACATCCAAAGAAAAATATTATTGTGTTTATCTATAAAGAACCATTTTCAAATTCTTATAGGTGTATATTTGTATACAGACAATAGACATAATAGTCTGAATATATACTTCATTTGCTAATAGCTGGTTGTGCTAGAAAGGTGAATACCTAATTATATCGTCTACATAGATTAAGTATAGGTTAGTGTCTGATTGCATAATTTGATGAAATTAATGATTATTTCTGCAAAAACAAATCTAACAACAACTAACCAGTTTTTTATGTTTTATAATACTATACAAATATATAAATGTAGAAAATAAGGCAATATATATATTTTTTCTTAATATATTGTCCATTTCCATTTTTTACTAAAAACCACCAACTTTTTCAGTAGATATATTTTTAGCTAATATAATATTGAAATATATCTCACCTGTGATTCTTTAAAAGTTAACAGCCTTTTGTAAACAGTTAGAAATTTATTAAATACTATTTTATATATGTCAGCATATTCCTCTTCTAAATAAACAGTCTGATACCAAGGTATGGGATGTAAAATAAAACTCCTTAAAACCATAATTGCTGAAGGTTCAAATAAAATTGTGCACCAAAACTGGTGGTAATTACAATTTAAAAGATAATCTAAACTATCAATAAACTGCAGATTGTTTGTTATAAATGTTAAATTTTCTTCTTTGCTTAACGTAAAGACATATGGTTCATATTTATATAAAATATTTTTAGGTATCCATCTTTTATCCTGGAATAAATACTTCTTAGAATATAAAAATGAAAATATAAATGTTTTACCAAGGCAGGAATTATTTCTGATTTTCTTTCACATAATCTTTTTTTAATCTCTTGGTCGGATAGTTCAGAGACATCCTACAATGATTTGAATGTTAATTATTTTTGCAATTTGCTACACAAAATGTTATATTTACAAGATCTATTGGGGCATCTTTCCGCAACTCATACCAATTTCTTTCAAGATGAATTTGATTAATTGGCAAATTATTTGGATTCTAAAAGAAAATTGAGTAATGAACTTCATCTTACGGAATAAATATCATATATTACCTTAAACACGTCTAAATAAGTGTACATAAGTTCCTTGGTGTCGTTTTTACTTAAATCTAGTTCTTTAAATGAGTTCACTAAATCCATCACTTCTATGTTAATAAATATTTATTGTTGATGCTAGCATATAAATGAATGTTACGATATCTGCAACACTACCACTACTGCCACAATGCAAATAATACACTAGTTACCGACTTTTAAGGTATTTTAAAAAGTCCCCTAAACCTAACCTCAAATGTCAAGCGCCAAGCACTGATCGTGATCCCGATTCCGCTAATCACAGTTGAATTGATGTTGATCCTGCGATAATTTTTTTTGTACTGAATTTAGCGCCGCCATTGACCATTGTATGTACTAATCCTACTAGCAAAAACCAATCTTAAAATATTTATATTCTAAGGTACTCGCGCCATTATTCCATGACTCGCCACGCGCCATTATTCCATGGCTAGAAATTCGCGCCATTATTCTATGGCTAGAAATTGGCCTCAATGATTTGGGATCGAGGGGGATTATCCCTCTTTATCCTGCCTCATCTCGTGTAGGCCTGGACAGCCTACGTAGCTGGGCCCCATCCGTCGTCTACCCCGACCGCAAATACGGCCGGTGTAGGCGCTCTGTGGGACCTCCTTTTGTCCTGGCTGGGCCCCGCCGGCTAGGGCCCTTTCTTCTGGCGCTCTTCTTGCTTCGCCGACTCGACTGTGTAAACCCCGGGGGTAGTGTCATGTTTATGTGTGGTATGGTTGGGTAGGGTAGTGCGGCTATGTAGCCTGGATATTCCATGACTAGAAATTCTGTTCCGAGCGGGCAGCCGA